GGGACCTCGCTCTCTAGAAGGAGAATAGGAAGTTGAAGGCTAAACACGCATTGTAGCCGATCTAGCCAAGCGTCGATCTACGACAAACTAACGGTAGAAGGTGCTCGCCAAGCAACATCCCAAAATCGTACCAGCGACAAGCAAGCTCTAGCTTTGAACGAACGAAATAGAGGAGCAGGATATGAAATGAGTCGCCCACGTACCTCCTTCTTTCGTTAGCCTTTCGAACAAGCTCACTCCGAGTCCCAGAGTTTGCGCTTCCCGAGAGGTGATGACTGGTGGAAGTTGCTTGTGATCACCGATCAAGGCGACGTGCTTTGCCTGCCAGAATAGGTGTGTTAGCAAGAAAAGAACACGATATTAGTGCGTGAAAGACGCACCCCTTTCATAAGAGGAATCAATGACACGGGTTCTGTGGCCATTGATGCTTCGTCTAAGAAGACAATTGGAAAGTCGATTCCACTGAGTGAAGAGGAAACGGAAGTGATGCATGTTGTGCAAATCTGGGTAAATTGAGCAAACAGTGAGAGGGCCAAACCAAACAGAAACGACATACCACATCCGCATCCTTGCAAAGATCGGTGTATATGATCAGCTCCAGCTGGTATATCTTGAGCCTCAGGGTCTTGTATCGCTTCTTCTTGATCTCGTTTGCCTGCCTCATGTTCGCCAACCGCAACTCCTTCCGGGGGTTCTTCTTTCCCCGCAAATCCCTTTCTAGTTCCTCAATTTGCGTACCCAGTCGGGTGGTCTCGGCAACTAACTTGTCACTCTCAGTCCGCAGTTCTGCGCATTTGGGATAGAGATCATGTTCCATCATCTTGACCTGGAGGGTGTAGGGCTGGAGCGAAGGGCGGACGGAAGCTGGGTAGCCAACGCGGATGGGTTTAAGATTCATGGAGACGAAGCCTTCAACAAGGTTATCGACCGCGACGTTGGTGTAGGTGCAGACAAGGATGGGATGTGGTATTCGGAAATGAGACTTGAGGAGCTTGATGGTCTCTAGAATCGTTTTGGTTTTGCCAGTACCTGGGGGCTAAGGAAGATAGTCAGCCTAGGTCACAAAGCTCGATGGAATGAGGAACCTACACCCTGCACCAAGCTGATGCGATTGCCAATCATAGAAGCAATGGCTTTCATCTGAGACGTGTTCAGGCCCTCTAGAGGCATGTCGCCCTCTTTGACCTCCGGAATGGGTTGTGAATACCGATGGACCCAGTCGGATATTCGAACGTCATCAGCAAAGGCACCGTTACTTGTCGGTGTCAGGATTGCTTGCTGAGCAGCCGGCTTGTCGCCCGGTACAAGCGAATCTTCCTCGGGCACAAAGCCTTCCAGCAGAACATCTCGCAGATGGGTTCCCCGGATTGCCCATTCTGTTCCTGAGGCAGGCGTAGTATCTTCAAGTACTTTGGCATTGAACGTGAACTGGGAAATCGCCTCCTTCATTCGCTCGAAAACGATGTTTGATTTGCCCAGGTCAATACGAAAGGTTTCGTTTGGGTTGATGGGGAAGGATTCCTGGAAGGATATGCGAATCGACGTAGCCGAATGACCTGTCACCGCTCCACGTTTTGGCGTTTCAAGGAGTGGCGACGAAGTTGAGACAAGAACCTGTGTTCCCGTTCTATGTTATTGGTTCAGTTTTATCGTCTGAAAGTCACCCAAACTGTACGCACTCGAACTTATGCTCAGGCAGGATGGTTCCTGGACCAAGCTTGAAGACAGCGGTAGGCATTCCATACGTCTTGGTAGACGACCAGTATGCAAACATGTCAGTGAGGCACCAGCCTTCTGCCTTGAGCTGGGCTACTGTCCAGGTTGAGAGACGGTTCATGATGACGGCTTCTTGTTCTCGAAACTCTGCCTCGATTGCCGGGAGGAAACTGACAGGGTCAATGGGCGTCTGAAAAAGGTTGATGGATCGACGTACTGCTCTTTATAGCGTTCAATGGGTGCATAAAATGGATCCCCTTCGACCAACGGCTGCCATTCTGGCTTGACTCGCCTTTTGCCATCGTCCCACTCGTCCCTACTTTTTGACGGCGTGTATTGCGAACGCGAAGGACGATGTAGTCGCGATGGGTCCGAGTGTGAGCGAAATATTCGTGGTCCATGTGACTCGACCCAATCGTCGAAGGAGCTCGCAGACTTTGAGGAAGCAGCCGAAGCTGCTGATATGTCTGACGTTGCGGAGAGGAACGCCTCTTCTTCATCGAATATGGAGAATCCGACGAGTGGTTGCCGACTGGAATTAGGCTTGAGCTGAAGAGCACTAGCTGGTAGGCATAACGGTGGTGAAGCCCTAAGTGAAAAGGACCTGTATAGCCGGCCTTGAGGTGGAAGGACGCGGCGTCGCGTCAGAGCATGGTTTCTCCGCGTGACGGCGAACCCGACGTCTGACTTGAGCGCAACGTCTCTGGCAGAGGCCAGGGTCCGCTGTGAAGCTCGTATGCAGGCCTCCAGAGTGAAAACGGGAAAACGGGAAAAGACAGAAAACGAGTTGGCAGCGCAGATCTGAGAGTGTTGTCACCGCACACCGCCGGAACCTTTTCGTTCTTGACGCGAGAAAAAGGAGACAGGGGCCTAAGTTGCCTTTCTAGGAGAATGTCTACAAACCTATCGCTTGCTTGCAGGAGCAATGTCTGATGAGTTATCTGATAGGGGATGAGTATGGCTAGAGCGCCCTTGATATGTGACGAAGGTTTGCGGATGAGTAGTCAGTAGACGGCGGGCGTTGAGATTTAAGCGCCCAGACCTTTGAAGCAAAACGGTCCTGTAGCAGCCTTGTCGCTCCACTTTGTCATCAAGCAAGATGATTTCGGTATTTAACCCAGGACGCATCAATTGAAGCAAGAGTTCATATTGAAGCGTGTGTAGTTTAGTACAATCCATTGCAGGGGGTAAGGAGCTTGAAGGTCACAAAGCCTTGCGATCAAAAGTCGGGAAAGTCAAAGGTGAGGTACTCCTTCTTCATGCACTTTTTAACTTCTCCGCAAGTACCGCACACCCTGGGTTCACTTTCAAAGAACTCAGGGCGTTTCTTCGCATTGATATCCCACCAATTTTCGGGATGGCGATCCCCGGAATAGCGAATATTACTCCGAGAGCTGATGTGGTACGGCTTAGGAACTGTCCAGGAAGTCATCATTTTAGCCTCTGGCCTAGAGAGTTGCACATTCACGTACCTCTATCGCAGTAGAAATAACCAAAGTTCTTCTTCTCGCAAAAGCAGGAGCCTTGACGCCAATCAGCAAGCGGACTAGGAGGGGGAGAGGATACCTTACCTCTGGAATGGGAGCACGCGCAATCATCGCAGACAGTGTACCGGCAATCAGGACAGGTCCGGTCGCAAGGAAAGGATTCGGTGAATTTCCCGTTGCACCCTGTGCAATGTGTCTTGGTGGGTTCGCGTGGTGGAAATGGCCCCCGTCCTCCGCTAGCAGCGCGAGGAAAGCTGTGACGCGCGCTGACTATTTCAATCGCCTTCTTCAATTTCAGTCTAGAGCACTCCTTCTTGTGCTCCTTCCAGTGATTAACTTGGCAGTCGCGTCCACTGAAGACCAACTCAGTCCCATTGCCTCCACATGGCACTGGTAGGAATTGAACGCACCAATACTTTGCCGTCCCACAGATTGTGCACTGCTTGCCTGCAACATTGTTACAAGCTTTGCCCCAGCAGATTTCGGACATGTTGCTCGCTCTCTACGTTGGGTGACGACCTTGCTGGCAGGCTAAATATGTATCTGGCGCGGGGCTGGCCAGTGTGCGAGCTGAGAGTATGTGTTAGAAAAGCTTGAGGCCTTGAGGTTGTTAGACGTATTGATCGATATCGAGCAACGATATTGAAGAGCCCAGGTCGAAAGCAGGTTGAATAGGATCTTGAGCTCTTCCGCCTGCATTTGAGTGTTGCTAACTTTGAAAATATAGAACTCGTTTGGAATCAGTGCACAAAACACCGGAACAACGGCCTTCGTCCTCCCATGCGACATGACTGCCGGCTGTGACTGTTCCACTGGCTTCATACATTCTCTTGCTCTTCCTCTTTCAAGTTTCTGCAGCCATCCAGCAGTACCGTGACATGATGGTGGAGATTAGAACGAATTCAAGCAAACGCGCAACAACGCGTCCACACTAGACCATGACGCGTCTATCAATCACATAGAAAAACAGTGTTTCTGGGCCAAAAAGCGTATTCTACGACGGAAAATTGAGATTATTTTTGCATATTGTCAGAGATAGACCAAATGGGCACCCATGTACCAGGTATTAAAGCTGTAGCTGCTAAGGAATGTAGCTTAAAACGCCAAAACTCACTGATTTTTCGGGCTAAGAGTTTGTCTTTGTTTGGCCGCGACCTTCGGCCACGCCCTCACCCCTTTCTCCGTGTTAGCCAGGAAGCTCACTCCGCTGCGCTCCGCTCGCAATGAAGCGACTCGAGGGATTGATGGCGTTCAGCGCTAGAAGTAGTGCGGATCACAGGTGATGCCCCTGTCCCCAGTATTTTAGCACGCGTTTGACAGGATGTCAAGAAGCCCGAAGGTTCAGAGTTTTATAAGGCTTTTCAGCCATGCGAACCGTAGCCATATTGATTTATACAGTATGAGGCTCGTACGTGAGACATTAGGTAGGGTGCGGAGGCATCAGCGTTGCGATATGCCCCCAGCCAATGAAATGAATTTACCTCACTTGAAAAAATCCCTGTCGTCCTTCATTCGAAATGTCGCCCTCCAGTCAGGAGCTGTTTGCTTCGGACCTCCGATGCCTTGAATTTGGCTCCCTGGATCAGGTGGTAATCCTCAGCCGCGCAAGACTCAGGTCGCCAGGATTGCCGCGGCATGAGCGATTCGAGAATCCTTTCGGGGTCGTCATTGCATGCACCGGGAAACTGAATGGGCCTCTCCAGGGCATAATGAAGGGATATTTACTTATTATTAGCTGTACTGTATCGGGCTCCATGCGGCTCTGCCTGATAATGCCCAAAGGCACGACCACAATGTGCCCGCCTAGCTCAATCGGATAGAGCGTCAGACTCTTACGTCGGGGGGCCTAAACCCGTATCAAAATCTGAAGGCTGGGAGTTCGACCCTCCCGGTGGGCTAATAGACCATCTTTTTCCGTACCCGACAGAGTAAAGGTGCCATGAGGCCGCCGGCGCTTATTTTTCCCGCGCAAGGCAACACACTATTCATACTCCGACAGTGGGGCAGAACATCAGTTCCAGCCTGATTGCACGCCCCCCTCACTTGTACGCCTGTGCATGCGTGGTAGGCGAAATGGAGCTCGTTCAGAAGTGTATAATCTGTATTTACCTCGAAAAAACCTCGAAGGGACCTTGGACGTTCAACTCGATATATATGTAAATGCGCATAAACGCAGGTGCACAATGTTTTCCTGATTCCATTCCCTTGCACTTTATATTTCTCGCTTTTGGTACAGACGCCAGATACCAGGGTGCCTTGCGGTTCTGTGACAGTGGCACTGGTTGCGGGCATCCTGGTCCACCAGTGTAGCTGACCACGTGACACAGATCAGGCGCGACGCGCTTCTGATCAGGATGCTGTTTTGACCTTGACCATGACCTCCACCTCTTCTCTATGAACCACATCGAAGTACCCTTGCAAGGTCCCCCCAGCAAGTCGTCCTTTGAATATCTGCGGCAGACCGGACGTCGCTCTCAACCCACCAATGAATCGACATTGCTCTTAACCATCAAGCAAGCCCTCAGAGGCCATGCAGGAGAGGCTACAGATCACATCTACAACCATTGGCTTCCAGACGACGAGAATCCAGATGGACGCGAGCTGTCGTGGCACACCAAACAAGCAGTTCTCAGTATGGGCGGGGTCATGGTGAAGAAATGGAGTTTCTGGGAGGATAAGGAGAATATCCAGACTGCCTGCTTGGGCTTTCTTGAACAGAATGCATTGGAATCGAGAAAGTGCTTCAGCCCAAGTGCCAACTTTACCTCAGTGGCCGACGACGAAGGGCCTCCAGTGGGTAGCGGCGATCCTGGAGGACGGCCTGTATTTGGACCCTTTGGAGCACGCGAGCAGCGACCTCGAAAGTTCCCCGACGAACACGAGCTCATCCCCGCTGTGTTCATCTTCTTTCGTAGCGTGGTCAGGATCTATCTGCAGAATGGGATGAGCTACGTGATCAGCATCCCATTTGTTGTTCGGAAGGCCTGGCCCATTTCACCTCATGGAGTCATGATTCAACGGATTCTTGAACCAGCAGAGCAGCTTGAAGCCGAGCTCACAGGAGATCCCCCGCTTCCAACAATATTCACCATCACCTCACCTTTTGCGGAACCTTCGGCGGTAGGGCTGGCATCAGGTATCAGCGGAGGGCTCGACAACAAGCCTGTAACATTAAACGAAGAAACGACCAAGAACGTTCTCAACTCTGTACCCCCCACCGAGATGATCGTCAATATCACGGCTGGAAACAACACGTCGGTCTACCATCGCAAGAACATTGTAGTCAGTGTGGATGTGATTCAACACACTCTCTCAATCTGGCGGTACGCATACGCGAAGCCCAGGCAACAGCAACAACATCAGGAAGAATCGTCGGCAGCCGCTGCGCGGAAGAAGCGTCAATCGATGGGAAGCCATGCTAGGCGAACTTCGGCAGCGTTCGAGGGAGACAGATTGGATAGCAAGCATCACGGCTCTTCGAAGGAGCCTGACCTTGCCACTCTGGGGGCAGCCGCCAGTGTGGGCGTCGCCACATCCATGGCCTCTGTCATTGCCGGAACTCAGTCCACAATACCCGAATCTGAGCCAATACCAACGGCGGACGAGCGGATGACAGCCAATTATTGGATGGAAAGAATCTACCATGAGCAGTTGACCCCGGAAAGGTGAGCAGTTTCGCTCAACGTACGGATCGATTCTGACCCTTCTGGCAGTGCGGCTATGTGGAATATCATGCAGATTGCGATTTGGGATGAGCGTTGGGACGGGACAGCCCTCAAGTCACATCTCGGAGTCGTTTTCAAAGATAGCATGAAGCTCAGGATCTTCGAGCTCCGTCACGAAGAGAAATCGAGACTCAAAGCAACATTCTTTCGGGAAGATCCTGCAGCCGGAATTGCGCGTGTCATCTCGACACGTCCCAAGATATACGACGCTCTGGTGGTGCAGCCTGATGGTACCGTGATCTTACTCACTCATGGCGCGTCAGCCGTTGGTTTCCGGTTGATTGACCCCGCAAGGCCAGACCAGAGGGAATTTCGATCGACCCATGGAATAGTAGCAGGCATCAAGGACGAGCGATGGAGCCAGGCTACTTTGGCGTATACCGATGGGTGGGACGAGCGGATCGACATGGACCTGTGCCCGAAGAGCAAGCTGGTCAACGAATGCATGCAAATGCTTGCATTTGTCCTTCCTTCAGAGGAATACTTCTTGCTTCACATGGACCTAATCAACCAGTGGTCCAGCAAAGGTCGAATTCCAGATCCGGAAATCGAACTTAATGCTTTCCGCAGTGCACTGTATACCCTCCTTGGGGTTGAGAACGAACGCTTGGCAGACCCTTCATCTCCATGGGACGCCTTGTCATATTCGCCCCTCCTTGCACGGTTGCACGAAGATCCAGCATTACGACGCCTAAAGCTTCCGCAAAGGGCACTCCTCCCCGCTCCAAAACCACTCTCACATCCACCTCATCCACTGCACAGTCTCTCAATGTACACCTTACACACTCTTGCGGAAGATCTTCGCGTCTTGAAGGGCCGGCATAGCGATGTGGTCAGGCTCGCACCGATTCTTGCGCGCTTAGCACTGCCAGTGCGGCCGGAATGGGCTGATTATTGGAAACGGCTGGTCCCAGACTGTCTGGACGGTTGGCCTCATCCCATCACGCACTCGACCAGTATGTACTCGCTTTTGAACCCTCGGTCTATCACTCACGCTGCACAGACCTGTTACATGTCGACGACCGGCTGCCTGTTTGGCCCCAAGACATCTATGTTTCTCTTTTCGGCCTGCTTGCTGGCGGTGGTGACGGGAAGAGCATCACATGGAATACCCCTGCGACTCTTTCTCGCCTATTTGATACCCAGCCAGCCTTTGCACACGACACCACAGACCCTCTCTCCGATTTGCATGAGATGCTCGGTCTGTATTCTATCTTGTCAGACCCCAAAACCCCCAGTGCCCAAAAGCGTGCAGAGAATGCGATCCACAAGTTGGTGGGTGGAGCTGGGGTGGGGAAACTAGATATGTTAACCTTTGGTGCTGCCGCGGCCATCCGTGAGGCACTGAGGACATGCCAGTTGGCCCCACCTGCGTACTGGCCCTTGCCTGCCTACAGTCAGATTGGGAGGAACGACCTCGCTGCGTCTGCGAGTGAAGAACCAGAGAAGCTGTTTGCGTATACAGAGGGATACCGACCGGCGAAGGAGTTCATTGTGCGTCTACTCACGACCTAAAGCGAATTGCACTGATATTGCACCTAGCACCCCACCAAGCCCCGCCCGTCAGTTGGGGACATCGTTTCAGCGGTCAAGACATCGTCAACAGGAGAATTGGAATCCGTATCTGGTGTCGAATTGGGACAAGAAGACTTCACTCAGATTCGATTTGGTCAAGATCGGCGCTTGGAAGAGGTTGCCCGTCTCTTAAATTCGTCTGCAACACCCACCATCAAAGTTGGCGAGCGGCCAGAACTAAAGTAAGCGGTCACAGATTCCACCCTTACCCTTTGCTCATCCACTACCAGTGAGGTGGACCAAACAAAAGAACATCAAGCTCACGTCATCCGAGTGGCTGAGCGCACGCTGGCTCTGCCTTTCGGGCGAGCCATGTTCACCTTTGGCTCTGTACCCAAAGTCACCCGCGAGGCGCATACCATCCCAAAGATCGAATATGCCATTAAAATCCTTCCTCCGAATGTCACCGTTGGGCCTGACCAGGGCAAGCTTCCACCTGATGCAATTCAGTGGGGAGAATTTCACAACGGAGTGGCAGCTGGGCTAAGGATTGGTCCGCTGGCGAAGGGTGTGGAGAGCTCTTGGATCACCTTCAACAAGCCTTCAGAACTGACTCCGGAGCACGCTGGTTTCTTATTTGCCTTGGGCTTGACTGGTCATCTGAGGGAGTTGATGACATGGCACACATTCCAATATCTGACACCGAAACATGACCAGACATCCATTGCCGTTCTCCTCGGCCTGGCCGCATCAAATGTCGGGAAAGGGACGCAAAAAGTAGTGAAACTCCTGGCCGTCCATACGCCCGCCCTTCTCCCAACTCCCGACATCGACCTCAACGTTCATCTCTTAACACAAGCTGCAGGTCTATCGGGCTTAGGCTTGCTGTACATGGGTTTGAGGAACAGACGAATGGCTGAAGTATGCTTGACCGAGATCAGCCGCAAAGATCTCGTGCAGCCTGACATTACGAACGAGCATCGCGAAGCGTACACCTTCTCTGCAGCTCTTGCCTTCGGCATGGTCATGCTTGGAAAGGGATCCAACATTCCTGCAGATCTCGACCTGATGCAACGTCTCAACACACTCATTCACGGCGACCTTGTCGCACGTTCGAGAGAGAAGATCTCTCATCCTTTCGATTTCAACCTCACTTCTCCGGCAGCGTCCATCGCATTGGGCTTGTTCTACCTCAAGACCGAGCGTCAAGACGTAGCCGACGTGCTCACCATCCCGGATACGTCTATTGGTCTGAACCGCCTGCAGCCCAACTTCCTTATGATTCGTACCATCGCAAGAGGGCTCATCATGTGGGAGAAGGTCCAACCAACCAATGAATGGATCATGGCACAAATTCCAGCTTCAATCAGAGCAGCAGTAGACGCGAAAGAGCAGGTCGTGGATGATTCCTTCCAGTTGGCCTACTATCATATCTTGGCTGGCTGCTGTTTCGTGATAGGGTTAAAGTATGCGGGTACTGCGCGACAGGAGGCGTACTCGGTGATCGTGAAGCAGTACGATTTGTTTTCACGACTTGCTTATACGAATAGTATGTGGGATCTTACCTCAGGCGTCGATCCTTCTAACCCGTTGTTACAGCGGGTCCCGCTTACGACCTGAAGATTAGGCGAGCGGCAATCCGAGATGGCCTCACCCAG